CGTGTAAAAACTGTGAAGAATAGTGGATAGAGCTTTGGAGATAGGAAAACCTAGGAGAGGGGTGTGGAACCTGAGGCCCTGAGATTACATGTGGCCTTCTAGATCCTTAAGTTCAGCCTTTTGACTGAATCCAAAGTCTGCACTTAAGGATGACATGTGGCCTCAAGGCCGAAGGTTCCTCACCCTCGACCTAGTATCAGACCCACCTTTGACAATACTGAATATGTGACTATAAGCAACTTACTTAACCTTGTGTGCCACAGGAAGCTCTTTAGGACTATAAGTTACAAAAGAAATGAAGATCTGTATTGGTGGAAAGTATTTTCCAAGCTGGGAGAGCCCCACACCAATAAAGGCACTTGTCTATACATTCTCCCTCCCAAACCTTCTTCATGCCTCCCAACCAAAAAAAAAAAAAAAAGAATCAAACAATAATACTTTTACTGAGAATCTAAAGTCAGAAGCAACTTGGATGTTAGCTAGTTCAAACTGGAATGAATGAATACTGTCTCCAACAACCATTAGAAGTACTCATCATATTCTGCTTGAATCAGTAATAAAAGATTCATCAGCTCCCAAAGTGTTGTCATTCCATTTTGGAACAGCTCTAATTGGTGTATTCTTCCTTAAAGTGGTTGTAACTTCTGTCCTGATGCCCTAATTTCCCTCCCTAGAACTAAGAAGACAAACCTCCCAAAATCTAAAGACAATATTCATGTACCTACTATGTTTTTTTTTTCCCTTCCAGGCCAAATTGCTCAGTTCTTTCATCTAATCCTCCTATTAGCATGACTTCACCATGTGTCTAACATGACCAAAATAAGTGTTCAAAATTTGAATAATTGTGGCAAGAGATAGAAGATTTGCTCAAGCAGGTTTCTCTGACTAGGATAGAAGATTTGAGAATGACTGAATTGTGCAACTGTATGGTTAAGAGGAAGAAGGGAAGTAAAGTAAGGTGAGATAGAGCCCTTTGCTTCTAAGACAGAAATTTTTTTTTAATTTTAGCTGAAAGGACACTGAAAAATTGTGAGTGTGAATGATGTGCACATATACAAGAATAAGCAACTTGGAGTAAATGCTGATCTGTGAAAAGCCAAGGGATTGATAAAATTAAGAATATGATAATAGAAGCCACAAAATTAATTGGGTTAAGCAAACTCTTTTTTTTTTCCTTCTGGGGAAGAATATTAAATTGAAGGCTGACTGACTTTAACAGCATCCCATTAAATAAACAGACATTTGTATGCCATATTGAGGCCTAGCTCTTATTTCTCTCCTGCCCTGCCTACTATCATTCATTTAAACACTCAGGTCAAAAAGAATAAGATGTTGGATCAGCCCTGGTGATGCAGCCTGCCACTGAAAATCAGGGTTCTTTTATATACTACCATTTCTTAATCTCCTAGGTATGTTGAGGTTGATTTGTATTAGAAAACAAGTAATCACTCCCTCTGAGAACTCTATATATATCCTGTAACCCGCCTGGCCCCTTCAGAGCATATTTCTTTGTTTCTATCTGGAGTTCTCTTCCTAGTAGTTTTTACTTCATTTTACAGCGTAGAGAGCTTTTCTTTTGTAAAGAGATAATAATATTATTGATGCTACAGTTTCTATATATAAGCACAACTGAAATTTTTCTTTTAAAAAGATCAAAGGATAACCTTCTGTATACAATCTAGATTGCAGGGATGGTCTATATAAATGACGCAAAGTAAAAATACTGACAAGAGGAAATCTGAAGACTCCAAAGTGGCCAGATGAGAAACAGGGAAATCTGGATGAAGAGTTACTCTACAGGGGACAAGAGGAATCATAAATTTAGAGCCTTAAGGGAAGTGGCCATCTAGGCAAACTTTTTTTACCTTACAAATGAGGAAACAGAGGCCTAGGAAGATCAAGATATTTGTTCAAGGTCACAGAAGCTAGGATTTGAACACAGGTCCTCAGACTTCAAATACTGTAACACTCCTTCCATCTCCCCGCTCTGCTTCCTTCCTGATTCTAAGTTGAACCTGGGGCAGGTTGCAGTAAATAGACCCAACATCCCCACATTTCAAAATACGGACATTGTCTGACACAAGAGGCATCTATATGGTTATTCTTCCAAGACTTCCCTGTCAAGAAAGTGACAAGATGGAGCATTCTTAGGATTTTAGTTCATAGCTGTTCTTTTTAATAACTAGAGTGGTTTCCATCACATGCACAAAAGAAGTGTGGCATATGGGTTCCCTTAATTAAATGTGAGATTATTTATACCTGCAGCAAATTTCTCACAAGAGATTGAAACTACAAGGAACCTTACCAAAAACAAGAAAGTTTGCCTCTCTTTTCTGACTTTAGGGTTACATCCAGATGCCCCATTTGTGGGTTTTCTAATTAATTCAGTAGGGTGCAAAATATTCCCAGAGGCTTAAGCAACTCAAATACTTCACTTTACATGATCTCACAGTGTCTTTTTTTTCCCCCAAATAATAACAAGCTGCTTGAGTCTCAGACATTCTGAGGAAGGTCACCAAATTAGAATGTGCTCCATTAAACAAAGGAACCCAAATCCAGCCAAAAATAGGATCAGTCCTTACTTCCTTATCTATAAAAGGTTTATTCTCTTTGTTGGATCATCTGGGGCAAACTGAGGTCTATTTCCCCCCATAGCTCAAGCTATGTCCAGGTCTGCTGACAACCGGAATGAGTGGAGGACTGGGTTGAGGACAGTTCACAAAATGTAAAAATATGGACACATCTGGTAGGTTAGGTCATCACAATTATGGAACCATCCATAATGCTTCCCTGTTATATTGGCACAGATAATCCAGAGTTGACTGTAGAAAGTCTAATGGACGGACCATGTGAAAACGGTAGGTTGCCCTTACTTCTCCAGGCAGATGGAGTTTGGGGGAAAGGAACAATCACTTATTAAATGCTTACTATGTGTCAGGTACTGTGCTGAGTACTTTACAAATATGATCTCATTTGATTGCAGGGTTAGCACAATACCTTGTGCTAGTGTGCCAGGCACACAGTGGGGTGCTTAATGGATGTTTCCTAATTGATTGATTGGTCCTCACAATGGCCCTGGGAAGTAGATGCTATTATTATCTTCATTCTGTAGTGGAGGCAATCAGAGGCTCAGTGACTTGTTCAGGGTCACACAGCTAGGAAGTGTCTGAGGCTGCATTTGAACTCAGATCTTCCTGACTCCAGGCCCAGTGTTCCATCTACAGCATCATGTCTTAGGGGGCAGTCAAACACAGTTTGCCAAACAGAAGCCATAGCCACATAACAAAACACACAGAGTCACAGAGTTGGAAGAGATCAAAGAGGCTTCCTTGTTCCTCAGTCCCGTACTTGACTCCTCCCTCCAACATTCTCAAGAAGTGGTCCAGCCTTGGCTTAAAGACCTCTAGTGAATGTGAACCCACTACCTTAAGAGAAAGTCTTTATCTGCATTGTTAGAAAAAAAAAATTTTCCTTCAATCAAATTAAAACCTGTTTCTTTACAAAGAATCACCTTCAGGTGTGTATTAACATCCAAAGGCTTGTCCACCTCACCTCTAATCTTTTCAGTTTCTCATTCTCACTCTCTCTCTCTCTCTCTCTCTCTCTCTCTCTCTCTCTCTCTCTCTCTCTCTCTTCTCACACACACACACACACACACACACATACACACACACACACACACACACAGAGTAGCTTCGCCCATAAATTACAAATAGTTAACATTTATTTGGTGCTTTAAGTTTGCAAAGTGATTCATAAATATTATCTCATTTGCTCTCACAAAGACCTCTTGAGGTGCTATTAAGACGAAGACTAGAAGGCTAAGAGTTAAAGTGACTTGTCCAGGGTCACACAGCTAGTATTAGAGGCCAGATTCTAACTTTATGGTATTTAATAAATTCTTATTCCTTTCCTCTTAAGCTCCATTTGACTTGAGAATTAGAGAAAGCACCTCCTACTGTTTTTATATAGTCCATCCATCAGATTTTCCATGGGCAACTCTGGGTTATCTGTGCCAATAAAACAGGGAAGTGTTATGGATGATTCCATGAAGTCAGGTCTTCCTGACTGCACAGGGCAGAGTGTCATTTGGCATTAGTCACATCAACACTATACCTGAGATAGTGCTTGAAGGGTAAGAAGGGTAGCTAATTAATCCGGAGAAGGTAAGAAATTAGCAAGGCAGCAATCACTAAATACATGTAAGGTTGACCTTCCCAGAATATGTAAAGCTTTGTTATTGCCTGTGGTTTAGAGTCATTTTAGTTGTGAGTTTGGAGACCACAGACCAGGTGGGCACGCAGCCAGGTCTGACTTTGAGCAAAACGGTAGGCTTTAGGGTTCATTGACTGCACAGGGGACATAATCAAACCCTGGCACTGTGCATGCTGTGTCCCTTCTGTGAATTAACAGAGTTTAAGTCTTTGGGCCTTTGAATGAAGGACTTGCATGATTATTTTTAAATAGAAGACAGCATTATAAATTCATTTACTCCCAAAATATTGGGTGAAAGAGATGACTGTTGCATCATTTTCACAAATAGCCATCATAAAAATCTAGAAAATATCCTGTTTAAGTCATGGTATAAAAGAAAAAGGCTTGGGTTGAGGAGTCAAAAGACTTGCATTTTAGTCTCTGCTCTGCCAATAACTAGACATACGACCTTAGACAAGTCAACTAAACATGCTTGGCTCTCAGTTTCCTCAGCTGAAAAATGAGAGAGTTGATTAGATTCCTGCACAGGTCTCTCCTTCTGCATCCCATGATCTTTTAGCATTCTTTTAGCACCATTGAAGGTCTACTGAACATAACAGAGAATACTTGTAAATAAAAGCAGATACATTTGTAGAATGAGAGAAATCTCAGTCAGCCCGTGTGTGGGACACACAACGTTTTAGCACTGTTATCTACTCAACAGCATTCCTGCCTCCTGTCAGTAATTTTCATCTTATTTGTATGAAGTCAATTTAATTTGCAATAGCCATAAACTCTTCTCTTACCGGAACCATCTGCTGTGTTACTCTGTCATGGAGATTCTCTCTCTAATAGAGCCTTGAATACTTCCAGCTTGTGAGAAGAGACTTGTTTGGAAGTTGAGCATTGAGCACTAAAAAACAAAAAGAAGAGTCATGCTGGGATGAAATAAAATATTATTAAAAATGGCTGAATCCAATCATCCTAATGAGGGCTGAACTGGGAGACAGGAAGCCCTGACTTCACATGCCTTCTCTAACACTACTAGCTGTGAGACCATAGGCAAGTGGATTTACCTCTCGAAAGCTTCTGTTTTCTTATCTGTAAAATAAAGGCAGTGCCCAGCCTGGACTCAGGAAGACTCATCTTCCTGAGTTCAAACCTGGCCTCAGACACTGACTGGCTGGGTGACCCTGGGCAAGTCACCTGACTGTGTTTGCCTCAGTTTCCTCATCTGTAAAATGAGCTGGAGAAGGAAATGGTGAACTACTCCAATATCTTTGCCAAGAAAACCCCAAATGGGATCATGGAAAGTGGAACATGACTGAAAAATGACTCAACAACTTAAAGATGGATAACTATGATACCTGAGTCTCAAAGTTCAGTTATATATATATATATATATATATATATATATATATATATATATATATATATACACATACATACATACATACATACATATATATATTTATGTGTATATGTATATGTATATATATATGTGTGTATGTATATGTATATATATGTGTGTATGTATATGTATATATATGTGTGTGTATGTATATGTATATATGTGTGTGTATATATATGTATACACATATGTGTATATATCTATATGTGTGTATATACACATATATGTAGGTGTGTATATATGGTGGATCTATGTGTGTATATATACATATATATGTATGTGTGTATGTATGTATAGCTATTTATCTATCTATATGTGTGTGTATGTACACATACATACATATATATATATGGTGTTTGCAAACCTTAAGCTGCTATAAAAAATGAAACAAATTGTATCATCACTAACAGTAATTCACTTAAACCTTACATAGCATTTAAAGTAAGTGCTATTATTATCTTTAATTTACAGTTGAGGAAACTGAGGCTGACAGCAGTGAAGTGACTTACCCACGGTCACACAGCTAATTAGAATCTAAGCTAGATTGAAATCAGGTCTTCCTGATTCTAGGTCCAATGAGCCCTCTATCCCTGTGTCACTTGGCTGCAACTTGGTAATCAAATTAAATAATGCATCTATAAACAAAGTGCTATGCAAATGTAAATCATTATTAGTAAATTATCTGACATTTAGTAAAAGCTTGTTAATTTAGAATTTGTGATCTACTTCAGTTTTGAGATGTGGAACTTATAATTTATATTTCTAACATATATAGGCTTGATCTCTCAATTAAACTGCAATTTCTTTGATGGCCAGGGACCATGGTCTTATTTTCCCAGTGATCTAGGATAGTTCTAGGCACGTAGTTCTAAGCACTTGAGCAGAGACACTCAAATATTTCTAGATCTAAAATTATATGATTCAAATTTTCCCTCTCCTGCCTTGTTTTCCCACATCTCCTCAGAGCAAAATAGCAGAACTATTCTGTCCTTTGATAATTTGGTTCCAAGTTCCTAGAAAAAAAGTTAATTACTGCACCTTCCTCAAGTGAATAGTTTAGTCCCTATTTAGCAAGAGCACCAGGACAATCTTGTGTGCCTTTTGCCTCAAGGCTAAAGATGGGAGGTACAACAAATTTCTGAAAGCAAGAAGGAATATTTTTATTCTCAAAGCTAATTGAGTTAAGTAGTTGATTCGGGGGTACTAGAGAACACAAACAAATAAAAATGTTTTTTTTAAAGCATGTGAATTTCACAAGTCATGCATTAATCATCACTTTCCAGTGCTTTTATCTCTAAACAAAGTTAACAGGCATTATTTAAACTACGTAAAATAGTTGATGTTTTAAAAACTATGTGAAATAGTCTACATACGGAAATAGAAGTGTAAAGAGAGCCATAATTTGTGAATTTTTCAGGTATGTTCCTTTCACATAGTAATAAGCGCTTAGTGATTCTTTGATGAAATGGATTCAATGCTCTTCTCTCACACCAAAAGTAGCAAGGGTTCTGTCTTTTAGCTTTACCATCTTAATTACTACATACTCAGCTCGAATCAAGAGAAATGGCTAATCCACAAATTGTCCTATCAAAAATTCAACTCAACAAATTGATCTCTTACCAAGTATTTGGATTATAGAAAGGGGACAAAGGAAAGAAACATGCAAGGCTCTGTCCTTAAGGTAATTAGAACCTGGCTTGGAAATACCTCTAACATTCATGAAACAATTAGAAAACAACATAAGGTACCATCCAGTTGTAAACTGTGTGGCACAAGCTCTGAGATCTCTTGGAGCTCAGTGAAAGTAGGTAACAGTGGAAGCTACAAAAACTGGGGAAGTTTTCATGGAAAAGGAAGGGCAGTCTGCGGGGCTTTGAAGGATAACTTTGTTGGTGTTGAGTTGTTTTTCAGTTGTGTTCCACTCTTGGTGATGCCATTTTGGAGTTTTCTTGGCAAGGATACTAGGGTGGTTTGCCATTTCCTTCTTTGCCTTATTTTACAGATGAGGAAATTGAGGTAAGCAGAGTTCAGTGACTTGTCCAGGGTCACACAGCCGGTAAGTGTCTGAGGTCAGATTTGAACTCATAAACAGACTTCCTAACTGTAGGGCCAGTGCTCTATCAATTGTGCCATCTATCTGCCCTATGAATAATAACTAGTGTTCCAATAATTCAGACTGAACCTAGCCACAATATCTTACTATAAACAGGGCTTGTTTTGACTGATGTCCTGTGCTAAACTGTAACTGTCCCAGGGAAAGGGGCTAACTTCCTAGCAATGTTACAGCAAATCTACCACACCCCACAAGGACGGTCTACAAATTCACTTATTCACTTGGCACCTTAATTTTGACTTGCTAGCTATGGATTTGCACCAGATTTGAAACTCTCTTTGAGTGAAACATTTGCTTCGGAAAGATTAGCATTTGATTGCTAAAGAATACATTGCTTTTGGCTGCATGTGAGGCAAATTACACAAATTTTCCAAAAAAAAATCTGTAAATCAAGGCTTTTCTTTTTAAATTACAATTTTTTCAACTACCTCAAATTTATTTTATTTCCTTCCTACCTTCTCCCCATCCTACAGAAAATAAACAAAACTAAAACTAAAACAGAACTCGTTACAAACATATATAATCAAAGCCACCTTAATCCAAAAGTATGTCTCATTGTGCATATTTAATTTCAAATGTTTTGTTTCTGATTGATCTTCAGTGAGAAGCTTCAATCAACACTCAGTCTATGATTCTTAATCTAAGGCATCCATGTCTCTGAACTGTTATTTATTTATTCATTATCACTACAGTGATGGAACTAGGCTTTCCCTGGTCTAGAAAGCTGCAGGTAAGGAATTCCCTCAATGCAAATCAGCTCTTTCTCAGTAACTTATAGTCTAGTTGGCCTAGAGCACATAGAGGATGAATTGGAAGGATCTCACAGAAAGTATGTGACAAAGGAACCCTTGAACCTGGTTTTTCTTGGTTCAGACAGCAGCTCTCACTTATTCAACAACCATTCATCAAATTCCTACTGTGTGCAAAGCACTGGGAAGCTCTCAAAAGTCGAGATTCTTTAGGGGGAGGGTTGCCATAGGTTTACAAATTAAATATAATGCAAATTAGTGAGTGATGGAGACAAGGGACATTTCTGGGTGAAAGGTTCCAGATATATTCGAAGAAAGAGCACGTTCAAATAGGGAGACCAAGGAAAGCTACAACTCAGCTGGGTCTTGAAGGAAGATGAGGGTACTGAGAAGATGGGAAGAGAGGGCATTCCTGGCATGAGGATGCCTACACAAGTACTCTGAGGTGGGAAAGAGCCCAGTTTCCTCACTCAGTTCAGGGAACAGCCAGTCCACTTTGGCTGAAACTTAAGAGCTGTCAGCTGCTATTTAAAGGAAGCCTTCAGTAACTCCTTCCAAAAGAAATAGGTACTTAATAATATGCAAGATCACCTCCTAAATGCAAGTGGTTTTGTTATTTCCTCTTTTTTTTTTAAGTTTAAGCTTTCTTAAGGTCAAGCTAACTTTTATTTCAAAGCTTTCCCACTCTTTCAATTATGTTTTGTTGTTTGTTTGCCTTTTTTTTTAATATTGGAAATAATTGACTTTGCCCTGGGTTATGTTTCTCCCATCAGTTTCACTTTCTCTTTTGGAATGCCCTTGGAAGTCAATGAATACTTTAAGGTGATGATTAAACCTTGAACCACTTTTATAAGCTTCTTTAAAATGCCAAATTCATGGTCCATTTCTGATCTGGCTCCTTTACTCTGGTGGTGATCCTAGCTTATTTAACAATATTCACGAAGTCGGCGGGTGTTAATGCCTAATTTAAATGATGACCTCAACAAAGACAGACAAACAAAACCAGGAAATGATAGAATCAAGAGTTTGCCTTTTGAAGAGTGACTCAGGTTTGGGGAGGAAGCTGTTATGTGCGGTATAACATGCTTAGGAATCTGGAGAGATCAGTTCTAGGCCCTGTTTCACTCTGCATCCCCTGGATGACCTCAGGCAAGTTACTTAACTTCTGTGCCTCAGTTTCTTCTTTCACAAACAGGTCCATATCACTTGCCCTACCTACATCTACTTCAGAAGATCATCTAAGGGTTAAGTTAGATAATGTACATAGAAGTGCTTTGAAAAGTGTGAGCTGCTATACAAATGTTCAGATACCACTTAACACCCTAATTCTACTAGATCACACAAAAAGTTTGACTAGTGTGAAATGCAATGAGAGTGGTACACTTTGGAGAGCCCTATAAATATAACATGGTTGGCCATGCATTTGCTGGCATGCTTCACAGAATCATTACTTGTGTTTCTACGTCTATTTTTAAAAGGTTCTGCATTAGCAAGAGTTTTATTTCAGTCACTAAGACGAAGACTTTTACATCGCTAGCCAAAATTAATGTAAAAGCAGCTTGCAAAGGTAAAAAAAAATGACTTTAGAGAGTGGAAGCAAAATGTTTGTATTAATAATTATGATTTGGGAGAAGGTTGGT